CTGCTGCTAAAATGAATACAGTTCGTATTCCTGTTGGTTATTGGACTACTGGTTTCGATAATCAACCTGGTGGTGATCCAGATGGATGGAAAATGTATGCACCTGGTGCAATCAACTATTTAGATCGAGCTATTCGTGAATGGGCACCAAAATATAATTTACTTGTATTAATTTCACTCCATGCAGCTAAAGGTAGTCAAAATGGTAATGATCATAGTTCGCCTCAAGATCCAGGCAAAACACATTGGTCAGCCTATCCAGAAAATGTTCGAAATACATTAGATGCTGTTGAATGGTTAGCAAGACGATATTATGCTAATGATGTAGCATTTTTAGGTATTGGCTTACTCAATGAACCTACAGGTGAATATCGAAAACCATATTTATCTGTTTAAACAGAAAATCATCTACCTCACTGTCTTTCGTTTTCTTTGTAGGATCAACAGATGAAGGAGTTTTGAAACAGTTTTATTATGATGCTTATGGTCGTATTCGTCAATTTTCAGATTGTTTATTAACTGTGGCACCATTACTATACCAGCAAGGACCATATAATAGTGATTGGGCTCGCTTTATGCCTCCACCACAATTTCATGGTATTCGACATGAATGGCATCGTTATCAAATTTGGGGATTTGAAGTAAGATGAACAATTGTTTGTCTTATCATTGTCTGATGTCCTGTATACTTGTAACGAATATATTTAGGGTTGGTCTAAAGATCGTTTAATAAGTTACGCTCAAAATGAATTGAAAAATGACATATCAGCTTAGAAAGGTAATTGGTTATTTATTGGTGAATGGTCTATTGCATCGTCAGCTACTTTTAATGACGATGATTTACGTCTATATGCTCAAGCACAACTTGCTGCATTTCAAGGAGCAACTGGCGGATGGACATATTGGACATGGAAATTTTATAATGATGATGGTTCAAGAAATGCTTGGAGTATGAAAGCAATGATTAATCGTGGTCTTATCCAACTTTGAAGAAAAATTACAAAAAGACCAGTTTTGGACAAAATATTTTTTTTCCTCTCTCACAAAATAAAATGATTCTGCATTGAAGTTATATTAGAATGAGCTTCATCAAAATCATTCAACAGCGGAAAGAAAACAAAGCCAGCATAACTATTTATGGTTTAAAAGTCTTTCACGTTATAAAACAAAGCCTACTCGTGTTTTTACATCTGGAAATAAGGACATGGATAGCACTATTACATTCTAAATATAGAATTTCGAAGAAATCGATATTATGTACATGTTAGAGGCCGTCAAGTTCAAAATTTTTGGATCAGCACTCAATTGGGTTCGGATGTGGAACAAACCCGAGAGACGATGATGTTCAGTAGAAAAAAACGCTTTCAGAAAAAGTCTGCTTGCTTATGTATACTATTTCTTGTTACAATACAACAATTCATTAAATAACTAAAGGAATGTAAAAAAGACAACAAACATTTCATAAATAACAAATAAAAATTTAATCAATGGCATTTTTTGTTTGTTTTTTAAATCAGTTATATTTTAATGAGAAGAAAATAATAAAAACGAAAGATAACGTTCAATATCAATGACACTCGAAAATCTCATATAACTGCTTTAGAATATAACTATCTGCTCATGTAACATAATCTTCGATTATTTGAACACTCTGTTCATATTCAGCTGATTGATTCAGTTTCTTTCCTATTTCAAAATACTGTTTAGAACAAGCGGAGCTTGACAATTTTGCGGAAATTTGTATGCAAAAAAAAGGAAAATATTCCTAGGATGTGTCTGAACATCCAGAAATGTTTGATCTCCCTCCTCTTTTACCTAAATGTCCTTTATGAAAGATGAAAAAGTGTATTGAGTAAAGTGAGAGTTATCATCAAAGTATCTTTCACTTATATTTTTTTCTGTGCAACTAACTATTATCTATTTCAAAATAGAAGAAGGATGATTGTTTTTTGAATAACTTTTTAACGGAAATAGCTATCGGTCAGTGGTTTTCATCATTCGATAGAGGCGAGCATTCTGCATCTTTCTATAGATGGTTAAAAAAGCCACCTTATGATTCTGATGAGCAGTCAATAAAATTCAAAGAAGTATTTAAAGTGCTATAAGAGTTTTATGGAATTTCAATTATAATTAGTGCATGCAGTAGATTTACCAGCTCAAGATCTACAATTTTACACAAACCTGAAATTTTTATTAATAAAAATTTCAGGTTTGTGTAAAATTGTAGATCTTGAGCTGGCGAATCTAATGCATGCACTAATTACAATTGAAATTCCATACAACTCTTATAGCACTTTAAA